TTATAATAAATAATATATATTATCTTACCAACAAAATCATGCGTTATATACATGTTTTATGTAATAGGAAACCGCACATGCTATATGCGTTCGCTTCCTCATAAACAACATAAAAAACAATTACTGCAGTAACAACACGAAGCATAACATCATTGATTCCATACGACAAGACAAATTGCTTTCATTTCCACTTGCCTCAATTGCTTACATTTGTTCAATTCCGTTGATACAATTACAACGTCGGCAGCTTCCATATCATTATCATTATCATCATCAGCAATAAAAACAATAGCAGTAGCACCGATAACGCAGCGATCATTAATATTGAGTATTTTTTTGGTTTTTATTTGATTACATTTATTTTTGTATTTACAAACACTTGTTTACTAATTTCACGTGCATTTTCATTTAGGAATTATTATTGAGTATGACATCTTTTTATTTTTTGCATAGTACTTTTCGATATGGAGTGTTTTATGACACTATGTCGAACAAAAGCCGGTCCTGAAGCTGAACGATTCGTAACCTGCTGGTTGTTCAATCATTTTAAATTTTCTCAACCTAGAGCTGCCTCGTCTTTCAAACCTACTAGTTCCATCAGAATATATAGAAATTTTGGTAAACAAACCATTGTGGCCAGGTAGATCCTTTATTAAGGAATTCATTCCTCGGAATTAATTCCTAAATATTATTGCAGTAGTTCTTCCACTCTCAAAGTTTTCAAACAACTTATGAAAAGTGGTTCTTCTTACGACTATTTTCCCTATTCTGCATCAAATCATATATTTAATTACCTCAACTACCAATATTATTGTAGATACCTTTAATTGATAAAATCCTCATTGCTTGTTAATTATAAATGTTTTTCCAAGTTTGTCAACTTCAAAGAAAATCTCCACATATTCCTCACGTGTTTCCTTCAATGGATCTAAGTCTTTTGATGATATTGAAGCCTCGAGTCTGTTTGCTTAATACTACCGACGAAATTTTGCAACTGTTAATTTCAATTTATCTATTAACTATCCACATCTTAAAACTAGCTCAGTTCCGACTCCTAATGTGTTCATTTCTGAAAATGGTTTGAGGTCTCTAAAATATAGTTTAGCGCCTGAGTCTGATGGCATTCCATCACGAATACTCAAATCATGCTTTGTTATTTCAAAGATTTTTAACCAGCCCTTGAAATAAGGTATTTTGCCTTTGTGATGGAAGAGTACTTCTCTTATTCCGCGTCACAAATGTGGAAATAGACATCATTTTGAGAACTGTAGAGGCGTTGCCATTTAAGGGAATTGCTACTCAGCATTTAGCTTTTGCTATCAAATCTTATAATTGTCCATTCCGGCTTGGCTTTCGGAAAGAAAGATCCACTAATACAAATCTCTTAGAGTTTACTTGCCATGTTTTCAAGGCTTTTTCGAGAAGTTCTCGCCCGAATGTCACATATACTGATTTTAGCAAAGTGTTTTATTAACCATAATTTATTTATCTTCGAACTCTAGGCTATGTCTTCTCTTTGTACTTAGTGAAATAGATAAGTCCTTGTCTTCATTCACGGTTCCGTTTAACTTCATCACTTCAGATGAACCTTCCATAACGTCTGGCGTCCCTTAAGGCAGCCAAGAGCCCTTTTATTCAATCTATACCTTAATGATCTCTCCTCGGTGATTAAATCCAGCCATATCCTAATCTACGCTGACGATGTTAAACTGTTTTCTTTCTTCTCCTTGGAATCGTAGACGTATCAGATGAAAACTGACTTAAATAATTTGATTAAATGGTGCTCGTTAAATTTTAATTAAAGAAAATGCAAAAAGCTTTCTTTCTCAAGAAGGACGTTATTGAATACTGATTATTTCATCGATTCACACAAGTTGGAAAACGTGGATTTTATCGATCTAGGAGTTCTATTCGACCAAAGATTACTTTTTAATGTGCACATAGAGTTCCCTTTAAGTAAAGACGGGTTAGCTTTGGGTTTCATCAAGAGACGGTCCCAAGTATTTAAGGATCCGTACAGTACAAAGAGACTACACATGTGCATAGTTATATCAATTCTTGACTATGGCTCTTTTGTGTAATCCCCTTCTTGACGGTGTTCTGTGGATTCAATTGAATTCGTTCAAAAGCAATTCTTGCTGTTGTGTCTTTAAGTTAATGAATGTTACCGTCGATTCGCCCATATTGCTTGGTGAGATAAACTTTAGTGTCCCTAAGCGTTCCTCTAGGCACTTTATATTCATTAAATGTAATCAATGTAAATGTAATTATGGGCTGTTTAGTCCGTTCAGAGTTGTTTGCAGAAACCTCAATGAAGTCAATCACTTAATCTCAATAACGGACTTTTTAAATTCGGTCAAAACAACTATGCTAAACACGCGCGATTTGTCTATGTCGTATTTAAACTAATTTGCAACCCACTCTCATTACGATTTGAAAATTAACTGGTGTTCTTTACTTTTATGGATTGCCAAACCTTTGCATTTTTGCAATGGCTTAGAGGTTCATTTGCAAGTTGGATTCGTATTGATTGAAGAAGTTTCTCTGTGCTAGTTGTATACATAGTTTCGGTTTTCTTCTTATTTGTTTATATTTTAATATGGTATTTAATAATTATTATATATATGCTTATTTCTCCCTATATACTGTGTAGTAATATTTAACATATAAAATTTGCTTCTAAGAGTCAATTGAATTCGATTTGTCTTGCTGAGTTTCATGTAAATACATAAGTAGGTAAAGAAATAAATAAAACCCTTTGATGCTTTTGTCGTCCTTGCTGGGCCAATCACTTTCCATGTACCATTGGAATCTACCAGTACATATTGATATCGATTGATATCGCAGTTGGCTGTCGCGAATTATAAACCAAAGAAATTAATTCAAATCTTCCGAAACTTGATGACAGACGAATACTTCTAACCCTATCATAATTTGTGTGAGCTAATCTGTGTGATTCCTCTCCAGTCTGTTTATGAAACTTATAAGCGACCGCTAATAGGTACCATTTAAGATAGTCGATACCAGTATGTTAAACATTAATGGTAGCCCTTTTACTATATATGGTAACTAGCAAACGTGCATGTGAATCTATAGGAATGGACTCCAACTAATAGACGGTTAGATCGCAAAATTTAAATTTTGATATGGCCCAACGGCTATCTCGTTCTTGGTACTCTGCAGCTGGTTTTGTTAGCTCAATAAAAAGTTCCTCAATCTTATCTTCAACTTCACTGCCTCATATTGAAGCAATGAACTTTGCTTTACTGTTACACCATTTCTGACTCCACTCCCTTAACATAGTCATAAAAAAGCCTCATATCGAATTTTATAAAGCTAAATTCACCCAATTTCGTTTGAATTTGTTTATGTATACACTTTCGGATATCATCTAAAGATTTTTCGATCATTACGCAAGTTGCAGACCATTTTTTGTTTTTTTAGATTACATTTTTTTGGATGTGTTATATATATATTTACGTTTAAAAGCACAGCTTTATTTTTCTTGTGCTGATTGATTCTCAAGTAGCTTTTATATTTTGTTGTCAGCGTGAAAATTTGGCGTGGGGAGCAATACACCTTAGTGGCAGGAACTCTCGCCTTGGTACTGTTTTCAAAAAATCTCTTACGTTTCGGGACGTTGATTATACACGGTCCGTCGTTTATATCGCATGTAATAGGCTTGATTTCTTTAAATGCACAATGTGTTGTGAGTTCTTCACAGAAATGAATGGGGTATAATTCGCATTAAATCACAATCGCCTAGCAAAAATTACAGCTTCTTGCCACTTGCTTTCTTTTTCGCAAATCAACTTTGTCTAAGTTCATCTAACAGGCTCTCGCAAACTCCGCGCATTGACGGTCCAGTAAGGTTTCAATATTTTCAATTGTCTTGTTGCACAAAACACATTTATTGTAGTTTGATTCCATTATTTTTATATATTTAACTTTAATGAGCTAACGCTGGACTTGATTTTGATTATTTTTAGAACAAGCTAAAAAAAAACTTCGCTTATATAGGATAGAAACGTTGTCAAACTTACCTTCAAAAGCATTATCTGAAACATTCCCTCTACATCGTTCAGTTTTCCCGTTAAATATTTTTAAGTAGGGCCATAAAGTAATAAATAAAATAAAATTTATAGCGTTGATAGTATACCATAACGTTGATTCTTTTTCCACTTCCAGCGGCGTATTTTTACGAATGAAAATACTATTAATAATCATACCAGCGAGAAAGGATTATAACACGTTTGAGTTTTTTGAAATAATTTTTTTTTTTTTGTTGAAAATTTTTTCATGCATTTCTATGTTTACTTGTTATCAGCACTATAAATAATTTATGCCCTTCAAAGAATCCTTTTTTCGTTTGTTCATTAGGATTTTTTTAGGTGGTTCGAATTTTCTCGGCATATTGCGGTCGTTTTTAATTGTTTGTAAGTGTTAAGTACACGTGTTGTTATTATAAGGTGAGGAGAAAAACCAGAAAAACTGAAAATGCAGGTGGAAGTTTTAAAAATCATTTAATAGACGTAAAAACTAGAATTCTCTGGTGTTAGATGTGAGTCAAGCTACTTTCGAACGCAACTTTAAAGCAACCGTGACAAATACCCGCGCTAATCTCTTTCATATATTTTCAAGACATTGTAAGCAACTCAAAAAATATGACGAAAAGCTCTTTTTTTTCGAGATGAAATAAATCTTTTTCAAACTTAAAGAAAAGTAATGGCTTAAGTAACTATTGACCATTGTGATATTTCATTCATCTCCCAGCACTGAAATATTTTCAAACAAGCGAAAAGTTTATTGGTATACATTTTACCTATTTCTGTTTCAAAAAAAAGCTAGGCCCAACGTAGAAAAGTTAGATTTTATAAAACCAGGAAAAACACAACAATGGTTTATAAAAATGTAAAGCATTTTATTTTTTACTAATTGTAGAAGAAACTGATCAAAAAAGTTAGGGAAACAAGCTTGATTATATAATATTGATTTGATATAACACAACGTTTTGTACATCAGAGTACTTGCTGCCTGCGAATAAATTTACAAAGAGTAAGGAAGAGAAAGTCATGAAGATGCCTGAAAGAAGATCTTGTAGAAAAATAAACAGGATGTTTTTACAAATTCTTAACTTCCGTGTAGAAAGCTAATTGAAAAAATTAAAGTCACGTTGGCTTGATGTCAGCAAGCAGAGGTATCTTCTCCTTCCAAGGTGAACGCCACATTTTCGAGTTTGTGAGCCAATTGTATTTTTTTGCAGTTGATGTCATTTTCCAGTGCATTGATAATCTAATAAAAGAAACAAAAATGTGAGAGATAAAAAATATGAGAATTTTACTCTTTTTGGCGAAAATTGAATGCCCACCACCCGGAATTAAATTATTTACACATTAAATAAGTTTAGTGTCTTTTGTAATTAATTAGCTTTGCAAGACGCAAACACCACAAAGTACTGAAATGAGCTGTTGTTATAGAATGTAAAAATTGATTTTAACTACGAAAGTAATCTATTAAATTAATTACATCAATCACAACTTTGATAAATTTCTACCCAGCTTGATTACGTAAATAATACACAGATACGCCCACTTTAGCTCACAATCTACTCAGGAACACACATATTTTGGAAATTGCGAATGCATTTTTGAACGCGTAACGTATGAACAATTATAACGTACCCAACATCTTGGAATGGGTATAAATACTTTTTTTACTGAAAATTTGAACTACTTACTTGATCATTGTATTTAGTAACATATATATATAATTCCTTTAAAGCTGATATTGTGTCGAATTCATCGTTTTGTTGGATGGAAAGTTGTTGCATAGCTGTGCTCATTTCTTGGTCACTGATTTGAGGTAATCGTGCTACATCATGATAGAATTGTTTCACCATTTTGCGGTATTGGGGTATGTCCTAAAAAAATTACGACAGACCACATAAAATAGTATTGATTTCAATTTATTCTTTATACTCACTTTTGCAAAAAGCAATTTATTCGACGGAGAGTCTTTACCTAATCTATGTTCCGTTGTAGAACAAGCATCCATGAACGTTTGAGCGATCCCACTTAGACTTGCGTCTACAGTAACCGTTTTATTAACGTCAAATATAAAGTCAGGATTCTTTATAAAGTTAACCCAAAACCTTAAAGGCAAACTATTTGACTTCCAAGCATGTACGATATCTGCATCGTATATGTCATGTCGTCGAGCTGCTTCATCCAGTAAGTCGAACAACCACTTAATAGCCGGTGGCAACTCTTCATTCACCGTCAGTATTGTAGCAAAAAAGTCATCGACGAACTTTTGTACAGTACCTTTTGCTGCAAGCAAACGAGTTAAGTACACTTCTGGTATCGTTTTATGAACACGATCATTGCCAACTCCCAATTGAAGGACAGTTCCTCCACTACCAGAAATAGCAGAATTTTTCATATTCATATAATGATCCGGAATGACGGGTTTAACTAAATGGTAGACACGTGGTTGTTGTAAACCTGATTCGATGTCATTGTTTATTATTATATGAGATTGCGAATTGTTAATGTAGTAAACTACGAAAAAGAAGACCATACCAGTCCTTATCGTAAACAAAATAGCGGTGGGCTTTAAGGTTCACATCTTAGGCACTTTTCACTTTAATGGTTGCGACAACTTTTTTTTCAGGAAGGGACACCCAAAGATTTATTGTTAGCGAAAAGAGAAAGAAGACAATGAAATTAACATCATAACGAAAAATTCGTCAACAAGGTTAATCATTTTAGGAAATCGCCGTCCTTCATTAGATCACGAATGCTACTAAGCCACTCCTTAGGGTCAAAAATATCTGAATCAAATAAGGAGATAAAGAAGAATTCAAAAATTGCTTTTCTACGACACCTGTCCGAAAATTCTAAAAGTGATGTTTTACCAAAAAAATACTAGCTTAAAATAACAAATTCCTTACTTAAGCAAAGGAAAGAAAAGTGGAATTACTCGAGCAGTTGGTGAATATAAAATTGAAAAATTATAGTTCAATCGAGGATTACGTCAACGAATTGCTGATCATTGCAAGTTACAAACGAAGGACTTAATACAGATGGCGGGCTCACACCACCTTTTCTGCAGACACTAATAATCAATACAATAATAGCAACAATCTGATATATTAGTATGTTAACAGTGACGCTAGCAACGAAATCATAAACGATGACAATTCTGCGTATAAAGCACACAATGTAGATAATAAAACCATACACTTGCTACTTCTGCTACGGTTTACAACGAATTGTATAGCATTGAAGCACAAATTAAGAAAGATGAAATTTTCGCAGCTAAAAAAGAAACTGGTTTAGAATGGGTCACATTTGTGATAAGAATTTAAATAAAGAAAAAAGATCTTTTTGATTTTGAAAATCAAAGCAAAGAGCCGTGCGCAGTGTGTATTAAAGGCAAACAAGCCAGGAAATCAATTAGAGAACTAGTACATTTCGATGTTATTGGGGTATTTAATATTAATTCATCTCAGGGAGAGCGACGAGCCGGAAAGCGAAATCACTGTCTAAGGATTTGTCATAATCAACTTTAATGAAACCTTCGCAATCGTCGGAAGGTATGATGCAATACTCTACTTATTCTCCTTAGGTGTTAAATACGATTTATATGTACACCATGTGGCCGCAGTTTGTGTATACGATACGTTACAAAAGATGGCATATATGCAACAACGTGAAAGGTTTGATGATGGCTCCAAAAAGGTTTGTAAGTTGCAAAAAACCATCTACGGTTTGAAATAATTACTTGTTTAGAATGAAACTATTAACGATGAATTGCTCAAAATGAGTCTCCTAAGAGGTAAAGTTGATCAATGCGCTTAAAACAAAGTTGATGGTAAATAGAAGTTGCGCGCGGCTATTTATATCAATTACGTTTTAATTTTTTCAAAACAACTTGAAGTCCATTAAATCGTTGAAGGCCAAACTTCTCAGAAAATTTAAAGTGAAAGATATTGGAGAGTAGTCTTCAGTGCTTAGTAGAAAAATCACCAGAAGTAAAAACGTCAACAAAATTGATCGCTCATGTTAATTAGCAGACATCTTAGTATGGAAATTTAGAATAAGCATATGCAACCCAACTTCGACTTCGGTGGACTACAATCAGAAAGTATCAGCAAACTAGCAGATGTCAAATATTTCATGTATGCAGGCGATTGGGTGTCTGCTGTTTGCTGCACAAATCTGTCAACCAGGCATATGTTATATGGTTAATTTACTTAGTCGACATGGAACCGACGCTGGGATACCTCTATGGGAAACAGTCAAACATATAATAGCATACTTGAAATCGATAAAGACATTGTGTATAAAAAAAAACGAAATTGATATAAAAGGCTGCTACGATTCTGACTGCACCGGATTAACCCCCAATCCACAACCGACTTTGCTTCTTTATAACCATCCGTCGTAAAAAAACAAAAGACAGTAGTAGTGTCTTCGACGTAAGCTGAGTTCATGTCATCAACTACTACTGTCCAAGGATCAGTACGGTTGACATGCCTGGAAGCTGAGCTAAACCCTGAATATAAGAAAAGTATGCTGTTATTTGCGACAAGTTTCTGCAATTTCCTCTCAGTATTAGTTGATACACAAGAAAGAAACATATGGATATTAAAGCCAATTTTAATCGACAGAAAATCGATTTGAAGGAAAATGCGAATACCTATGTACAAACGAGATGATTGCCTACGTATTTACAAAGGCTGTTACTCCTCAAAATCTAACGTATTTTAGAAATAAATTTGGTGTTTACTAATCCACTTGCTAACTACAGTAACATTAATTTGAATTGAAACGTTAACCTTGATTTTATGATGTCATATTTCGTAATGTAAAGAGTACATGAGAAGTGTTTGACTTTAAAAGCTTGTTTTTCAGGAACAGACTATCCTTTGTAATATTAAAAAAAATAACAAAGAAGTGTTTTATTTTTGTTTGTTGTTTTCATGTTTTGAACAAGCCGTCGTTTTTAAAATAACCCACATGTCCAGAAAAAAAAGATAGCAACTGTTTAGGCCTGTATTAAGTACAAAAGATGAATTACGAATAAAACTACGTTATATTTAAAATCACTCACAAAGCGTAAAGAAATTCTCTGACAATATTTTGGGAATCGAAGGAAGTGCAACAAGGAAAGTATATTTGGATGTGACCGAATTTCTTATACCCATGCAACGAGCAAGAGAGATAGTGAAAGCAAAAGAGTTCACTGCTTTTGTTACATAGTTGTAGACGTGTTCTTTGAAAAGTTTGGTTCGCTTTCAAATGTTTGTAGAGGTGCTACAACAACAATGTGTATACTTCTTAGGGTCTCTGAAGCTTGCTCCTGGGTGTTGCAAATATTTTGACAAAATGAATATATCCCTCATCGCTCGATGATGGGTACAGAAAATTTAATCCTAAAAAGCATATGTCTAAATATGTAATAATGTAGGTTTCATTTTCTGCGTCAGGGCCGGTGTACTGCACTTTGTTGAAGCCATTATGGATCAGTACACGCGCCTTAATAGTTTGCACATAAATAAAGCTTACAATATGCAATCCTGATAGTTATGTAATTGCCTGGATGTCATGGATATTCCAGCTCAGGCTCCAGATATAATCACTATTAAAAGTTTGTGGAACTATCGTGATAGGAAAATTCCCGAAAACCCTATAATTTCCGAGGACGATTTGAAAAAATTTGTCAGGACGATTAATAGAAGAGTGGAAAAAGTGCTTGCGAAAAACTTGTTCAAAGTATATCAAATAGATTAAAAATGGTGATAAAGGAATGCATATCACATATTAATATTTAAGAGAAAATTAAATTAGTATATAGTGTATGAGCTTCGCTTTGGCAATGAACTGAGCAAGATTTTGTGTTTCCGCTTTATAAAATGTAGTTCGAAATTAAAGTTTGACTGCGTTTTTAAATTATATATATAATCAACTAATAAAATTTATAATTCTTTTTTAAGACCCTCGTATTTTAATGTAATAAGAAATATCAACAAATTAATTTAGCTATAAGAGTTTCGCTTGGCGCTACAAAATACTAAAATCATAGGCAATTAGTGAATACTAATATTTGTTCCTGTAATCTCTTACATTATTATTCATAATATTCTTTCATCTGTTTTCCTTATTCGTTGCTTGCGTGCTTTTCGTATTCAAAGTTAAAAAGCATTTAAGTCTACTTTGGAGCCAGCTTGAACATCTGTTGAGACTAGATAAATTCGTAACGTGAAATTAAATCAAATTGACTCATTTACTATATGCTTGCAAAATTGTGATCAGTGATTTTAACAGGTAAAAAATGACAAGGAAATGGAACATACCAATGTACATGACCATTAAATTCGATGATTTTGGCATTTCTCTACCAAAAATAACAGTTTTTTATTTAATGTAAATTGCAGTTAATAGTTTTCCAGTAGAAGAATTATTCAGCGTGTGCCCCAGCTAATCATGGAGTGCTCAAAATTGCACTGTCGATCTTGGTTACTTTTGTAGTTTAATTTGAAGAAATCTACTATCGAAGCCCACCAAACACGTTCAGCAGCTTATGATGATTGTCAATTTTGGTTTCAATGATTTAAAAGTGGTGGTTTTGATGTCAATGACAGAAAAACACAATGACAAAAACCCAGCTCAATCCCTCGAAGAATTTTCGAACAGTTTAGCAATTAACAAATCCACTATTTTTAGACGTTTACATGCGATGGGAAAGATTCAAAATAAGGGAAAATGGCTATTATATGCATTGAGTGCAAATACCATTTTGACCGCTTGTTGAAGGAGTTGTGAAAGACACTATTACAGCGTATTTAGCAGACATGGCGTCTTCTGAGTACCACTTGTTTAGATCGATGCAACATGGCGTAGCTGGCACGCACCTTCGCAAAACTGAAGAAGTACGAAAATGGTTCAATGATTGGATCGTTGTCCCAATATTGTTTCTTTTGACACGGTATCGTTATGTTGCCAGAAAGATGAGAGAAAGTTGTAGAAAATGATGGAAAATATATTTTTGTCAATAAATGCTCTTTTCAAGTCAAAATAATGCTCAAATTTTTCCAAGCATTATATTTATTAACCTACAAATAACAAATTTCCAAAAAAGTTGCTTAGCTTCGTATTTTATTATATGAATCAGCGTCTGTACTGGAGACATTTCAGACGTTTGCAGTCGATAAAAGTACGTATCAGAGATCACAAAATAGATATTTATGAACACAGATTCTTAATCAACCTAAGATTCAATTTAAGCATGTCTATTTATTCCGTTGTTCGCTGTAAGTTGTTTGATTTATCTATAACTGAATAATTCAAGTATAAAGCCGAAACTTGGTAGCTAAAGAACAGTCAAATCAACTCTGAAAATTGATGGGGTCTATTCCAAGAGCAACAAGAGTCAAGAAATCGTAACTGGAAGAGGTTAGTATAATAACGGTCACGGGGGACGTTTTTAACAAATTTTGCAATATTTTCACTAACTAAGGGAGGATAGCATATGATAGGGCCTAGCTTTCACAAAT